AAACGTAAAATTGCGGTGTGTGGAGGAATGGAGCAACAGCTGGAAGTGGAGCTGGAGCGGCAGCAAGGGGAGGGAGTCTCTCTCTCTCTCTCTCTCTCTCTCTCTCTCTCTCTCTCTCAAACACACTGACACATAGACACAGAGCCTAACGTGCAGGTGTTAACGGACCACCTTCACTTGACCTCTCATTCTTACTGGCTCAAAGATTGAAGCTTTAGGCTGACAAAGAGAGGGTGAGAAGGGGAGAGAGGGAGAAAAAGAGAGGGGCACAGGGAGAGAGAGAGAGAGAGAGAGAGAGAGAGAGGGATAGCTTTCCTTCAGACCTACTTGGCAGCAATGATAAAAGACCACGATAAGAAGCATGTTTAGCTAATGATATTACAACAGGAATTCAGTCTAGTCTCCATTCACATGACACAATGCAGTGCAATACTGATGGTTTTGATTCATTCAGTCTATGGAGACAGACCCACAAAAAAAACGGCCTAACTCCCACCATGCAGCAGGTTGATAAAGGTAAATAAAATGCAAGTGCCTTCCTTTGTGAAAAAAAGAAACGAACCTATAACGCTTTTCAAATGATAAATATGTGATAGGCCTATTGCAAAATGCATCAGTATGAATAAAGTATGGGTTAGTGGCGGGAAGATACAACATGCTACAGATAAAACACACATAATCAGTTTCAACGAAATTGTATTTATGTTTTTTTTGTTTTTCATTCCCACCAACATATCTGTTTCCACAGGGAAAACACACAATACAAAGTGCATTGGTCAATTGATGCTTATCCTTGATCCTTGTTGTGTTGAATGCTGCACATGTGGAACTGGGAGTATTAAAGCATCGGCTGGCTGCTCTTTGTATAAGTTATGTGCACCATCTGAAAAATCTCAGCTATACATGTACGGTCATGCGTCTATACATCATGGAGCCAGCACTTCTGTATCACAAGTAGGTAATTTCATTCGGCAGACGTTCGTGCATTCTCCACAGTTCACAAGCGAGGTGACATAAAACAACAACATGCATCATGCAGAACTATAATACGATCTAAGTCACGCAGAATTTTGTTTAGGCTACGCACACGGATCACAGCTGAAGCGTAATGCCGGGTGTGTTGTTATGGTTGGAAAATGATAAATTTAGTCTTGAAAGTGGTCAACTGGTTAGCACTGAGGCCAAGGATGGTTTGCACACACACACACACACACACAGCAGCAGGATTATCTTATCTCTCAGGCACCGCATGGATCGCTTTGTGGATAAACAGGAAGAGAGCTTGTGCACCCGGCCCTGCTCCACTTTCTCCACTGCTCCTCGGCTCTAGGACACCCATTATGTGTACAGATCTACTGGCCAAGAGAGTATATAAAGGTTTTGAACCCACAGAATTACATATCCCAAGTGAGAATCTGCAAAATTACAAGTTCACAAGTTCACAAACCCAACTGTGTTTACGGAGGATAAAGGATAAAGGAGGGGGAAAAAAAGAGACAACATAGCATAGGCCAGACCAAAAATGGAAAAAGTGTATTGGGAAATGAATGATGGATGGATATTATGATACATCGGCTTTTGTCTGTCAACCAACATCAGCCTTTTCTAAAGTTTGCTTCCATACGGCAACATGTCATGGCTTTTTGGTAATTTTAGGTCTCAACTCAACATTAGCAGATGCATCTTTAAAAAGCCTTAAAAACAGAACAGCTAAATGTTATCAGGATAATGCTCCCTGAAAATGGTCTCGCAGTTCCTTTTAACTTTCTTTCTTGTGTCGTGTTTCCAGAAGCTATAAAGCTACTATGCCTCCGTGGTTGCTTTGTTAGCTTGAGAGCTGCTAAGCTTTCCCATTGACATCCCAGGAGCCCGCCGAACATTTGACAGCATTCCCGAGTGAATTCCACAGCTCCCATGTGACCGCAGGAGGCTGAGCAGGAACTCTGGAGGGATTCCAACCCGTGTTCGGAGACCCTGCAGTGGGGAGACGCGGTTTCCTTTAGAAAAATGCATCTTACTTTTTTTTTTTAACAGCCATAACTTAATTCTACCAGTCTACTGTACTAAAAAACCTGTGAAACAGTATCTGAAGCACTTAACACCAGTACTCTGACAGCTCATTTAATCTCTGGGAAATCCCTGGTATCATAATTGATGTGGGGCTTTGAGGATCTGAGTGGGTAAAACTATTTAACCCACATGCTTTTTTTAATATCATCTTAATGACAGATGATCGCATGACATTGACACCGTTTGTGGCTTAAGGGTAAGTGAGGTGTATTGTCAGTCGTCTGGTGCATCTCTTCAAGTCTTGTCAAGTCTCTCTCTCTTTCTTCACTCACCCCACATTCTGTCAAAGGCATGACCATCATAAGATACAGTGTCATGTGTTTTTACAGCTGGTTCAATACTGTCGTCATCATGGTCTAAAAGAGAACACTAACAGATCTGTATGTAATGAATGTCACTGACCTGGTCCACTTGGGTCACTGACGTCACTTAACACCAGGGATAGAGCAGTGGTTAAATGAACTAAACCTCGGTTTACTCACTAGTGTATTTGCAGAGTAACCTTTTTTATGCTGACATAGATGGCTTTCCACGAATAGTTGCACATCTTATTTTAACGCAAACACACCACGCAGCCAAGGCATGAGTGTGATGGTATAACTGCCGCTGGACTGCCAAAACAAAGTCTTATTAAAGGCTGGAAACTTACCATGTATTTGGCTGTGATGAAGCCAAGTGACAACTGTTTGCTATAACTTGTGGCGCAGTAGTGGAGGGGGCTGAAGTTTTGAAATCAGGGGAGAGAGAAATGACGTTATGGGACTGAAATGTTCTGCTAGAATACTTATCTACTTAGACTGTGGTGCCCAACCAATCCCAAAAAAATACTTTTGGAGAGCTGTGTGCCAATGCTTGCGCCACTTTTGGGCAAAGACTGTTTGTAGAATAACAGAATCTCGGACACACACACACACACACACACACACACACACACACACAAGCACAAATGCTGTAGGATTACTTTAGGACTTTATTGGGAGATCATGCTTGAGTTGCTTCTCCTTTGAAACCTGGGAAGCCAGCAGGGATACAGAGGAGGGAGAGAGAACGAGAGAGGACCAATCCAAACAACAAAAGGAATGCTCTCCATCAGTTAGAGCTGCTGCTCTCTGCTCTCCCACTTGCCTGCCATGGTATGTGTAATTACACCACAATTAAAGTGTCTGTGCTTGTGACTGTGTGTGTGTGTGTGTGTGTGTGTTAGGGTGTGAGAGACTTGCAGCGCTTGATGACCGCCAACCATGTCAACAATGTGGCCTGGAGAGAACAGGCCATTTCACACAAGTGAGTCAGGGAGTGAAAAAAGAAGGGCAGAGTTGAAAAGAAAACATTTTGCTTTCCTGTTAGATGCTGCTGCAGCTGGTGAAGGAAACAAAACAGCTGTTCAGATATCTCTCTCTGAATCCTCCATTGTTTTCTGTTTCTAATTGAACTTTCTCTTGCTTTCCTCTCTGCCGTCTTAGTGCCTCTGCTTTGTAAATCACTTTGCGTCTTCTTCTGCAGTCTGTCTCTCCTCCTCTCCTTCCCTACTCTGACCACAGGAATGCAGGGCGACTGTCACTGCAGCACTATCCATATCATGCATAATGACAGGGCCCACAGAGCACACACACAAACATGTACAGTAATGCACACAGAGGCATTCCAGACTACAAAAAGGTGGACATTTCTTCACCCTTGCTATTTCTACATGTAGTATACAAGGTCTGTCTTATGGAGCCCGATGCAGACTTGACACATGCTCATATATTGTATACTGTTAGTGCTCCTCTATGCATTTCCCTACATACTTTTATTGTCCTAGGAAATTGCTTCCATTCCTGCATCTCTAGTTATGAAGGGTGAAAAAAACACTATAAACATTTAAAGCTGTGTGCATGGGTGCACATTTTACAAGTATTGTGGTACAAGTTCCACACATATTTGGCTTTTGCCTCTGCAGCCCCCCCCCCCCCCCCCCCCCCCCCTTAAAGGTGCCACTGTTCACATACACTTTATAGCCCAATTATATGGTACTAAGACTAACACAGTGGGCTCCGTTTTCACAATGCATGACATTGCTTAAAATAGGAACAGAAATACTGCACTTTTTACTATTGAAAAAACACCAAGTGCATAGTTTAAAACCCAACATTAGAATACTGCCCAAATGTTTACAATAGTGAATGGAATGTAAACGAATCCACTGCCATAATGTCGGGAATTTACCTTCACAATCCTATTAGTATTAGTGGTCTGTAGTAGTATCTTAAAAACCTAGGACTGCAGTATTTCAAAAAGCTTTTCATCATAATAAAAAAAAATCTGTAATGTGATCAGAACATGTAAAAAACAAGGACAAGGATTGTAATATTTTAGAAGTTAAACCGATCATTGTTCAGGTCACAGGTAGCTGAGAGTCGTTTTCTGCATGGTCACCTGTGCGGCATTGCCTTTAAATAGTACCAATGTGGTATATTTCCGGTTTTCCCCCCAAAGAGAATGTAGAGAAATGAATCAAGAAGCTAAAGCTGTGTTATGACAGAATTTGGTTGACGTTATGATGATGGTAATCTGAGCTCCAGCTCATTTCCCTCTTTTGGACTTGATGATGTTGGGGGTGAAAAAGTCGTCTGCAACCCAAACTGATGTTCTAAAGGTTTTGTGTCGTACGAGGGTCTTAAGAGTCCCTGTCTCATATAGTATCCCTGTGTAACTTGGTGTTGAAGTGCCCTTGAGCAAGGCAATGATACCTTGTCGGTTAAAGAAACACCTATTTGCCAGCTGATGATAAAAATAACAACTAAAAAAACGTATCAAAGCAATATAACACATTATTATTGAAAATAAATAATTGGGACTCCAGCAATATGGAACAACTATATATCCAACAATGATGGAGGAATCTGTCTTCCGACCTCCACCACACCGCGGGGTCCTGTAAACATGTGTCATCTCCGTTTAGGGTCCTGTTCAGACAACAGCAGGTTGTTGAGTTTGATGACAATGTTGGCAAAGTCGGTGAGCTCCACAAAGTCAGAGGTGATGATGTTGACCCCCTCCACCCCCGGCCTCTGAGCCTCAACCCAGGACATGATGGTTGGCAGGTTTCTAGAGCCAGCAAAGAAGAGAGTTTGTATTAGAAGGCAACAAAATGACACCCCTTTTTTTGTTACACTAAATATACTGTTACTTGAATTTAAACTGATCCACTGGCCTTGTGAACATATTTAAAATATCTAGGGCCAAGTTTCCGTCTCTAAGGGTTATAGTTATGGCTTTATCGTTGCCAGACTCCAATCAATTGTTCCTTGGCTGAATGTCCACCAAATTTCATGACAAGCTGCTGATAAGGATTTGAGAAACAGTATCTTGATGTGGGAGAAAACGGTACGGATGGAAGAAGGGTTAAAGTGAGTGATGTTTGTGACTGTCTGTCTGTCTGTCAGTGTGGGCGTTCTTTACCACCATTGTCTCAAAATCATTGCTTTGCATTCAAATACTTTCTGTTATGGTTCTTGGCATAGAGGCACAAACACACACACAAAGACTGTGCCATGACTCTGTAGCTGTATCACTTCCAACACCCTTAAATTCTCCACTGTGTTTGAGCCGCCAGCAGAACAAAACCAGGAAGTCAGAATGTTTAACCAGCGGCGATAAACAATCCCATTTCCTCGGAAGTGCAAAATTAGGCCGCCTCCTGTCTCGCCAGAGAGTCCGTCCAGGAGTTTTATACCCCAGCACCAGTGGCTGTTTCTCTGACTTTTGAGGGGATGGTGGGTATGTCCTCTGAGTCAGGATTTCCTCTGTCATTTCCACTAAAAGCTTTGGCTCAACAAGCTAGATGGCTGCTGGAGTTGTGCAGATAATTTAGTCCGTGCATAGGAAGTAAAATCTCTTATCTGAGAGATGAAATGAGTTTCTGTTTGATCCTCCATAGTTTGGAAATGGATAAAAAAGGATTATAGCTAATCCTTAGTTAAATAAACCAGTGAAGTGACAGAATTTTGTAACAGAGACGTCAAACTTGAAGATGCATGCTTAGACAGATTCTTATAGGCAGTAAACCTGTTGTAAGTAGAAGAAACATCGACATTGGTTTTACTACTACACTGCATTCTCCATCAGAGGGTGTGGTGAGATACACAAATAGCTGTGCCAATCACAGGGAAGCATGAGTAACAATAGGTCAACAAATGTACAGAGGCTTCTTCAGGAAATCATATTGTTGTCTAGATGGGCGCAGCATGGCACGATGTCAACACACAGCACCACAAATCTGCAGCCACACACAGACGTGTTATTTATTTAATTTGTACAATGATAATATATAAATAAAAAATGTTGAGGAAGCCACCTAATCTATTTCAGTTTTAATTCTAATGTATCTCATGCCATAAATTTAAACATCTACATCATATTGATAAATGGGACACAACAGCGTTTACACCGTCATGCATTTCAAGAATAGAACATGAAACGCCACTTGTGTATAGGAGGTAATGACACACAGCCATTGACTGTGTTGGAGAGTGATTCTTTAAAATGGCTTATTTAAATTGTTTGCATCATTCTCTTATTACGTTGCATTTGCTCCAAGTGTTTAGTTTGCTCTTGTTGATAAGGCCCTTCTTCAAGAGCATGAGCAAAGATGAGGATCCTCTTTACTGCATGCATTTGTAGCATTTACTGTACTGCCCTCTACTGGCCGCATGCCAAAGTAATGAGCAAAAGAGAAGCAGACAAGGTCCAAAGGTGCATGAGCAGCACATACATGCTCAAGCATGCTTAGACACATGTTTAATAGCAAGGTATATGTAAAGCTTAATGTATCCAAACCACCAAAAAAGTTGACATTGTAATGCATGTATTCACACACCCTCCACCTTCATAAAATACCCCAAACGTAGTGACTGACCTTTCCACCAGGTAGCTGCGCAGCCCCCAGACCAGGCCCTTGGCCACGGTGTTAACCTTGGGTGTGAGGATGGCCTGAGACACGTGGAAGGAGCCCTGCTTGGCCCTTTCCCTCAGCGTAGTTTCCAGGAACTAGACAGGAGAATGTCAAACACACCCAGTTGAAACACAGCAAATGTCATCGAAAGCACCCCTTGATGTGAGGTGTGCGAGGAGTGTGGACACAGCTTGTGTAGTTGATGTCTAAACTGGTGATTTTTTAGCTTGAATCCTACATCGTGTAAAAATAGCGAATCACAGATATATTTGTATTGATTTTCCGCTGAATGGGATGAAAGAAGTATACATGGTTGCCTTCATGCTGAGTAGTTTTCACAGCCATTGTTGTTTTCTGACCTGTGTGAGCTTGTTGGGTTGGGTGGTGTTCGCCCAGGGAGCGGGGATCTTGTTTCCCGGCCACATGACAGGAATGCCCTGAGCAGATGGATGATGGTAGAACACAATCACCTGAGGAGAAAAGCAAATGAAAGACAGTGAATAGATACGTTTAAAAGACTGCACAACTGATTGGGTGTCTCAGTGACACTTTTAACAAGAAAGCTGGCTGCCCTTTGGAGCTGGTAATTGTGCAAATCTATCCTCTGCACACTCTCTCTCCTACTCCTTTGCCAACTAAACCAGTCACAGATTAGGGTCATAGGAGCAGGAGTTAAACTGATAGCATCGGAATGAGACACGGACATGCACAGAGAACCACGAGGAAACAAAATCGCACCTAAAACAGGAAGCACACATACGTGAATGTCCACGTGGAGCTTCCCGTGTCCACATATATGAGTATGCGTATATATAAAAAGAAATGCATGAAGACAGACTAAAATGAAGAGTGCGAGATGAGGAAATCAAGGAAGAAATGTAGGGAAAGCCCCCCAAACGATGAATAAAGATAAATGGAAAGAGAGTGTGAAGAAAGGATCAATGCTAAATACCATGAAAGACGGAAATGATGGAAGAAGGGTTAATGGGATGATGTCATAACTAATTGACTAATTGAGGATTACCTGTCCACAGGAGTTAAATGGGCCGTCCAATAAACACACGCCTCCATGCTGCTTTTACTTGTACATGTATGAGCTTTAAATGGCCTGAGATCACCGGAGTCAATACACACACACACACACACAAAAAAAACTAGTTGGAAGTGAAAAAAAAATTGTTTTGAAATGTTTCGAGGAACGTTGTACGTTCACTTTCATGGATGAATTCTGATCTCACCTGGTATTTGTTCTGCCAGAGGTAGTCCAGAGTGATGCTCTCCACTGCACAGATGTTACACAGCTTGCTGCCAAACACTTCCTTGAGCATGTTGATGAGGTACACATGATGCTCTGCTCCCATTGCATAGTAGTGGTTGAAGTCAAGAAACACTACCTAAATCATTCAAACATCCGAATCACATAAGTGTGCCAACTCCTTCTATCTATGACCATGCTTGTGTATCTGCGCTTTCTTCAAATTGTATTTCATAAAGAACACTACGCAAAGCGCTTCTCACCTCTTTCCTGTGTCGGTTTAAGAAGGAGTTGACTTCTAACAAGCCATCGCACACCTGTGGGGGAGAACAGAGCTATGAAAGGCTGGAGGTACTTTCCTGCATCGAACCTAAAAGGTCTCCCTGTTTCACACGGGGGACAGGCACATGTCAGAATCACCCATTTCTGAAGAGGGATGCTTCCGACTAAACTCACAACCTTTGATCCCTGTTCAAGGGCATCTCCATCCCACTACTGACAACGTCAGCTGGAACACTACGCTAGCAGAACACATTCTCTGCTCATGCTGTTGGACGAAAATAAAGGACAGACATCTGAATAAGCGGAACTATTGGAAAACACATTCAAATGCACTTTTGATTATTTGAGGACTTCAGACATCTGATCCAGAAAGACAAAAACACTAAACATAATACGGATAATACTGGAATGTGACTGATTAAATCAAACATATTTAAATCACAATAAGAAAGAGCAGGAGATTGTAGCCTAATGATGCAAGCATTTAAAATGTCAGTATACTCCACCGCTCACCTTGTGTCCAAACAGGCCATGGATGAAGTATATCTCATTTCCCTGCTCTCCTGGTTTGGAGGAGACCCGGAGATCAAAGTAGCGAATTCCTGCCTCCAGCTGCTCTTTAAATGTCAGGTTCTAGGAATACAGGAATTATATATTACATTATAACAACTGGCCACAAAACCCGACACATCTGTTACGCTGTGAAACATACAGATTTTCTGGCCAAAATAGATTATTGAATATGTCATCTGCAAGCTATCTGGCTCCAGAGATGGTTAGGTTTGTATATGTCACTGATCTGAACTCAGTACCTGGGTCATGGACCACTTCACCATGACTTTCTTGGCCAAGACGCTGAACATGGTGGCGAGGTACTTCACGTATGCCTTCTGGTCGGGTCCCACAGGAGCGTGCACATCTACCCAGTAGGTGAACGAATCGTGAGACCCTGCAAGAGAGACGATAATGATGATGAGAAAAGAAAAATGAACAGATCACATCCAATTTTGACCCGTGCAGCTTTGTTATCTTCCCGAAGTGTACAATGATGGACAGATGAAAAGACGCGGAGAAACCCAAACACCTTTACGCACGGACATGGCTCACCTGGCACGGCGAGGTGTTTGAGCGGCATGGCACTGAGCATGGAGGGGAGCGAACCCATCCAGTCGGCATTGACATCGCCGATCCCCGCAGGTCGGGTCTTCATATCAATATCAGCTTGTCAACCCCCCCCGCCCCGCCCCGCCCCGCCTCGCCTCAGGAAACCGCTTTCCAGTGCACATGCAATCCCGGTGACGGAATCCCGTGCGCTCCCAACAGGTAAAAACTAGCGCGGATCATCTTGCGATGTCTCAGTTAATCTAGGCAACACATAGGACCGGTTCAAGACGTCCCGTTTCCTCGCCCGGTTCTCGGTAGGTTATTGCCTGCGCGTCGCGGTGTGCAGTTCTCCAGCCGGCGAACCAGGCATCCGTTGACGAGACCGACCGGCGGGTAGCTAACGACCGTGATAATCCTCTTAGAGCAAAATTCTCCTCGTTATCCCCTTCTCCTGCTTCTTGGCTTTACCTGCCTCGTGTGTGCGTGTGCGTGTGTGCGTGTGTATGAAGACCATCCCGTGGACACACGCAAACCCACAAACGCAGGGCCTGCAGACAGATAGAGGTGACAGATTAGAAAGTTGTCTCAATTGTAGGCGGATTTGTTGTGGTCTATAATCAACAACCCGTGACTCGTAGGCTGCAAGGATGAATGCACATAAAGCATTCAACACATATGGATCATTATTTGCGACCTCTGAGACAATGGCGAGGACAAAACTAGGCTAAAGTTGATGCTTCGACATCAAAAGGTGTGTGTTCATGCTTTGGCCAGTTCTATTCCTTTATATCCCATGGATTCATTACTTTTAACTGTCCAGCTGGCTTGGTGTAGCCGACTTATTAAGCCACAAAGGGCTACAAAGAAACAAAGGCCAATATAAATAGCCATTAATAAACTACTTAAACGCGTCTTTGCTCTCTATTGGTCGATATGGAAAACCACGGCCCGACAGCTCCATCTATTGGTGCAGCGCGTGGATTACAACTGTGTCCAGAGAGGCGGTGGAGTGAAGAGCTCTCACACTTGTCACTTTTTTTGTCATCCCAAATATCAGTGTTGTGATTGCTCTGGAATAAAAGGGACACGTGTTTGGCAGACTTTTTTTCAGTTCAAGCAGCTGTGTTTTGGGAACAAATTATTCATCCTTGTCACTTTTGGTGTGGAGCTTACTGTATAAATAACGTAGTTCATAAAAACTAAAAACCTTCACCTGTGGCTGTAGTTCCTGTTTTGTGTTGGCTATTTCATATAATTTTGTCAGACTAATTCCAAGACTGTAAATATTTTAGGACACAAAATGACTTCATTTAATATTACTATCAAGCCAACTCAAAGTTAATTAAACTCTCAATTTCGTTGTGGGTAAGGCTTTACACTTCCGCAGTCCCACAAAGCATTGCGCTCGCAAAGCCACTCGTCCCCTGGCAACTTAAACAAGCGTCGCGTTTGTGTGTGCGTTTCCATGGGGAGAGAGTCACGCGCGCACACACGCGCCCTTATCGTAAGAACTAGGTTTAGATACTACGTGCATTTTAACTGAAGAATCGTCGTGTTATCTGCAGGACCAGAAAACGGCCGAGCAACGGAACTGCACCACTAAATGGTGAGTTTAAAAGAAAGAAGGACATCATTGCAAACAGAAGAATGGGCCTGAATAAAGGGGGTCAGGGAGTTGCAATGTCAAAGCTGACATGTCAATAACAAATGTTTCTCTCGTGTTGATGTTTTCCTGATGAAGCAACGTTGCACTGTTTATTATGGGCTACAGAAGTTTAAGCTGGTTTGTCAAAGCTGCTATTTCTTTAGAGTTAGGCTGACGTCTTGTTTTATGGATAGCCTGCTGTGTGTTACGTTGTGTGCGTGACAGCAGAGTTACATATGGGAAGCAATAAAGTACACCTTTCTTTTACCAAGTAGGCCTAGGCCTTATTACATATTAAAGGAACATGATCAAATGTAACTGTTTGCTTTCCACTGTCAGGTTTGTGTCTGCCTTTGTTTTCAATATAATTGACCTTGAATAGCCTGCTAATGTCCTGTGGCCTGGACAGGCTACATCTTAATTCCCTTTAAATCCCTCTACAACAGATTGCCATATGTGAAAGCTGAGTACAAGCCAGCAGTCCTCTGGCTGGCATCCCGACTTGTCTTACTGCATATTGTTTCAGTGAGGCTGAAATAGCAAGCAGGGTTTTTGTTTAGAGAAATCATTTCTACTTTGCAGTGGAAAATAAAGTATAAATTGAGGAGTATATATAGACTACGGCATGCAAAAATGATGACAAATCTTCAAACATTTACACATTACTAATTGCACTGATTCTCTTTAGATGGGAGTTCCTGGCCCCATCCAATGAATCAAACACATATCTCATTGTGTTCAGCTGCCCTTGGCTTATCTGTAACTGCATGTCATTTAAGTGTTAAATCCTTACACCCAAATGCTCACAATCATTTGGCTTTTATTGCTTATAATGTGTATGCATTTCAGTATTTACAACCAGGAAAGCCAAAAATGACAGGGTTTCATTTCATTACGCATATTATGTCAGAGTATGCATTGGGTTCTTTGGTCAAGTCTTGTAGTTACACGCAGGGTGACCAGCTATGCATTTAAAAAGGAAAATAAAACATTTAATGTCACTGTATGAAAATCGCTGTTTATGTTTCCTAGTCCTTTGCCTGAATCTACAACGTAAGAGTGATCACTGTGGCGCCAATCAAATCCTCTTGACAGACGCGGTGCCAGTAAGCATGATGTAACATCCTATTTACATCCCTGTGGGCCTAATCTGCCTAGGGCTGGCTTTGTCATCTCTCTTGGGTGGTCATGTTGGAGCCTCTTACTAGTGAGACACACACCTTATCCTCCTCACTGAGAGAAAAATGGTTGTCGCTTTTCTTTGTCCTCAGATCTATTAAAAAAATCCTGTATAGTGGGGATTATCCAGGAGTGGGTAAAGCTTCTAACTGTTGTGAGATTTGCTGCATTTGTAGTTGACTGGTGTCCACATGCTGCTGCTGATGTTTCTTTTCTTCACTGTCACCAAAGGATCCAAAAGGCACGGTGTCAACTCTTGGCTGATCACCAGGATCCAACCTCTCCAACAGCGGATCAGTTACTGCAGGATGAGTTTGGATCTTCAAGAATTGGTGAGCATGGTGACACAGTGGCCGACTGAAAATCCTTCCTCCTGGGAAAAGAACAGTTGAACTCTTCTCGAGAAGAGGCCGGGCAAAAGACATTTGGTCAATGAATCTGCGGTGTGTTTCCTCAACTTGTTTTATGCAGAAGGAAAGTTAACAAGCTGATGACACCGTCTTGAGAGATGATGAATCGCTACACCACTCTGAGGCAGCTGGGTGACGGCACCTACGGCAGCGTGCTGATGGGGAGAAGCAACGAGTCCGGAGAACTGGTGGCTATCAAGAGGTGAGGATGGTGATCATTTTTAAAATGTAAATATAGTTTCTCACTGTTAAAGCAGGGCAATATATCTATATATATGAATGTTATGTGGGAGTTTGGTTATTGGACATAGCTTAAATATTTACTCTCACTAGTTTAAACGGCTGCTTTCCATTTTAGTGAAGCTATACAGTTGGCTGTTTTCACAGCGGCCATGTTGACATGTCATAGCAGGGTAAACACAGGTGTCATTGGTACATTTAATTAAGGCCACACTGTAATCTGTGTGTCAAAGCCATTCCAGTGAGCCAACCTGCACAATACCAGGGCATAAATGAGCAGGGCCATAATTAATGTTGTCAATCACACATGTGTTAGCCCTGTAATGACATGTCAAAATGGCTGCTGTGAAAAGTGAAATGAATAAACTTGGTATTAATTGTGTCAAAGTCCATGTTGTGTACCCCTAGTTTATAAAAAATATCATGTAAAAGCACCAATAATCACCCCCAAAATATCATCCAATTATTGATAGCAAGACATTTTAATAAAGAATACTGTGTTATTTCATTGTGACAATATTAGAGTAGAGTAGAGAGTATATGATGTATTTGTTCCAATTTTCCATGTACACATTTGTACAAGTTTGTTCACTATAAACACGAGTGTATTTTAGATTTTAAATGTAGGAAGTCAACTCTGGCCTACTCCATATTTTTAATAATGTATATCGAATGTTGACCTACTTTAACAGTTCTACAAAGCAGATGTACTTCATATACTACTACAGAAGTATATTTAGTAGGACAAAATATTAAAAAACTCAAACTGTCATATTTTGCTCTGGATAAATGTCATATCAAAAAAAAAAAAAAGAAAAGTGAAGGGCTCGTGGTTTCCTGCCATCACCAGGCCAAACAAACCAGCTTACATGCCTTTGTTTGAGCAGCATGGCAGCAGGGTTCAATAATAGATGAGAAACCGTGGAGATGCGTCCACCGGTTGATCATTTGGTTACCGTGCAAGACAATACATGTGGTGACGGTGAAAGGGAGTGAAAGTAGAGGGAGTGTGTCAGGTTGCCGACATTGTGAAAGGGACCAACGAAACTGGCAGGTGGAGAAAAGATATCTGCACATTCTGTAACTCTTAAATAACTCCGGTTAGAGGCAGCGGCAACTTGATCAGAGGAGATAAGCCATCCCTACAGGTGTCCCGTATAACAGCTGCTGTGTGGTTTTTAATGCACATAGCAACACGTACTAGATAAAACTGACAATACAGCCATTGAGAAAGATGTATTTCACACTTAATTCAAGTAGATAAGAAAAACAATAAAGCCTATACGGTCCAGAATGGCAATTAATATCACTTTACATTCTAGAGTGTTTGCTGGTTTTGTTCTTGAAATGAAATGAGCTGAAATTGGAGACTCCTAAAAAAAAAAAAAAGGAGCTCAATTATTGATAAAGACACACAAAAGAATTGTATAAAGACAGGGACTCTCTGTATGTTTGGTGTAATTTATATGCCCTGCAAATGTGTTGCCCTCCATTCTTTAGCTGATGTATATCTGACCTGTACTCCAAACTTAATGTCTCTGTTTCTCTCACAGAATGAAGAGGAAGTTTTATTCATGGGAAGAATGTATGAACCTAAGAGAGGTCAAGGTAAGGATGGTGATACTTTGCACAGGTTATGGGACAGCTTTTGGCTGCTTCCAGAGATGAAAATATATTTTTATTGGCAAGATAATGCTGCGCGATAATGTACGGCAGCTCCTTTAACACAGCTGACAGTTGGCTTTCTTTGCGCATCTTCGCATTTAAAATATTGCAAATCAACTTTGTAACCCATGCTTTAAAAAATGTCACACACTGAAAAAATGATCGGGAGCGGTAATTAATGTTCTACACATTAAAAAAAACAAAATTCTGCAGTCTCTTTATTGTGCACTTAAAGTTACTACCTCCCATTACCCTTAACTACCCTCAGGCATTTTCTGATTCACAATTGCAAAGATTGAATGTATTTGTGTGCGATTACACGAGTGACATCATTCTTACCCTTTTTCCACGACTTGTCACACCAGTCACTGAAGAAGCTGAACCATGCGAATGTGGTGAAACTGAAGGAGGTAATCAGAGAGAACGACCACCTCTACTTTGTCTTTGAGTATATGAAGGAGAACCTCTACCAGCTCATGAAGGACAGGTAAGAAGAGCAAATACCGCACTTTTGCCAGGCGAATGTCTTTAGAAGGTGTATAACACAGCGGCTTAGTTTAATACCAGAACACAGAGTTTCCAAATGTCAGCATCTGGTCAGAGTGGACTCTGGAGCACAAGTGGAATATTTCCTATTTCTGTCAACACACCTCGCTGTCATGAGTTGACGTGCATTAGGCTCTTCTTTGAACACAGCTGCCACTAGGCTAACACCTTCTCGGGGGGGGGCTCTGATGTTTTTGCTGGTTTGGAAACCCCAGGTGTACTCTGCACTTACACTCACATGGGTTCGTCATCTGTGTTGTTGTTTTTTCAGCATTGTCTTACCAGTTAGTTTGTGTACAAGGTGCAAGCAATGTGTATGCAATGATTCTTACATTAGCCCGGCTCATGAGAATTCTGTCAATTTTATGTTTACAGAAGAAAGTTGTTCCCTGAATCAGTGATAAGAAACATAAGCTTTCAGATTTTACAAGGCCTGTCATTTATTCACAAACACGGTAGGTGTACCGTGTTCCCTTCATGCCTTACAATTGCATGAGAGTGGCAGCATACTGCAAGATTCATTGATGAAACGTGAAAACTTTTAAAAGCTATGGAATATGGAATATGTCAACCAAAGAGCTGAAATGTCAAACTGGTGATTCATTTATCAGAATCTTGTAGTTTGTGAACCCTTCATCGCTGCCTCATCTAACTCATTGGTCTGCATTTCTATAACTAATGGATGTGTGCAAGTTTTAAGAATATTACAGGAAACTCATTCATTTAAACTTGTGCATGCGTAAATGCAAACAAACACACTCACAGCCAGTCTGTGTTTGCCTTACAGTACATGCTTCCACACATTCAGAGCGCTCATGCTTTGTTTTAGGATTTCTCTTCCTTTTAAAACTGCTTTTGCTGAATTTCTCTTTTACCCCCCCCCCCCCCCTTTCCTTTCTTTTCTTTGCATCTCTTTGGTCGGCTGTTAAGAGAGAATAAGAAGTTCTCAGAGAATGAAATTAGGAACATCATGTTTCAAGTGGTGTCTGGGTTGGCTTTTGTACACAAGCATGGTAAGATGCTTTACTCTATCATTCCTTACCTGTTTCAAAGTACCACGACATTTCAGTAGTTTGTTTGGGTATATATTGTAAATAAAAGAGTCTTGTAATTTAGTGTGACCCTCAGATAAGACACCACAAGGGGCGACAGGAATCCCGGAGCGCAGAATACAGAATTAATACAGGTTACAGGAATACAAGGAATTTAACTTAATCTGTCGAGTAGATATACTGCAGGCTGATGAAGCAGGCGTGCAGACATGGAGGGATGATTAGCTGATTGCCGACAGGTGTGTATGATGAGCAGAGTCGGGGTGCAAGAAGAGCCAGGAGGACAACGTCCGCACACAGAAACAGACGGGGGGGGGGGGGGAAGTGCTGGAAACACAGGACAGAGGGAAACGCAAGGAACACTAGGAATTAAGCTGGATAAGCACGGCCATGGCTGTGACAGTTAATACTGTAACTGCTAAATGCACTGACAACGTTTGTATTTTAGAGACATTCCCTTTCATATCTATGTGGTGAATAAAGTACTGTACAAGCAAGATTAGGTAACTAAGACAGCTTGGTTAAGGTTAGAGAAACACTGTTGCCATGTTTAAATAATGACAATGTCAATGTTGAATACTCAACATACTCAATACGTCAAACATGGGCCACTGCTGTCGAAGGCAAATATACACCCATTCAGCAGCTCCCTAGTTTTCCTTTTCTTGTGCTATCTGTGAGTTTTGTGCAGCATTTGCAATGAATGTAAAATACTAATATAGAATAGTTGCATATGATTGTAATTTGGTCATTTGGCCATTGTATAGAGTTGACTCTGTACACAGTGGCTCAACTTGATGTTAACCTCGCCACAGGTTTCTTTCATCGAGACATGAAGCCGGAGAATCTGCTGTGCATGGGTCCAGAACTGGTCAAAATAGCAGATTTTGGACTGGCCCGAGAGATCCGCTCCAAACCCCCCTACACAGACTACGTATCTACCAGATGGTGAGAGTAGTGTCCGGGCATCAGTAGCCTTCTAAGGCACAGAGAACTGCTTAAGCATCAGTTACAGTGGGATACACCAGACAAGAGCTTCAGCCTTGTAAAATTCCCATTATGCTTTCTGTTTGTGCGGATATGCAGTATGACTTGTCGGCTGGTTTATTTGAGTGTGTTTTCTGTCCAGGTACCGGGCTCCAGAGGTCCTGCTCAGGTCCTCTACCTACAGCTCTCCTATTGACCTGTGGGCTGTGGGCTGCATCATGGCTGAGCTCTACACTCTCAGACCTCTTTTCCCGGGCAACAGTGAGGTGGATGAGATCTTTAAGGTCTGCCAAGTCCTAGGCACCGTCAAAAAGGTGAGAAGAAACTGAATAGAGTGAGGTGGGAATAAGTGACCTTTATTCAAGGTTTTAAATGTGTTAACAATAAGCCAAATCAAATCATTGGGGATATTTTTTCAATTAAGTTCTTTACAAAGTAAATCCATATGTAGACAAAGACCAGCATTACCCTCTCTGAACAATTGGCAGACATACGTTCAAAGACTTTTCCCAAATCCATAACTATTTCCTCTGATTGCTAAGCAAGGAGCGGTCAAAGCCAATTTATGGTATGCCCTGGTCTTGAAATGGTATGCGACCTCAACCACAAGGGCAGTAACCAGGAACCAACCACTTCTGTACTGTATATGTTCCATTGTTCATGGGATGTATTGCATGGTTATAAAAGTGTATTAGCGCACAAGAGGGGAAAAGTGATAAATATAACAATGAACAACATCTGATTGTTTCTTTCCTTAGACGGATTGGTCAGAGGGCCACCAACTAGCGTCTGCTATGAACTTTCGCTTTCCCCAATGTGTGCCGACCCACCTGAAGACCCTCATCCCTAATGCCAGCAATGAGGCTATCGCCCTGATGAGGGACCTGCTGCAGTGGGACCCCAAAAAAAGACCCACTGCTGTACAGGTAGGCAAAACCAAACCTAACGGTCAGGTTATACAGTAAGAAGTCAAAGCTTCATTTGCCATGTATGGTCAATGTAAATGCCATTTATTGGGAGTGAAAGCCTTCTGTACCATAAATCAGCACATAGGGGGACAAAGCATCATATGTCTGCGATTGGCCTAAGTATTACCTGTGATTCAACGACTTATTTGGACACACTTTCATTTTTAAACCTAAAAAAAAATTATTATTTCAATTACAGTGCAAGACTCACCACTACATGCAGATTATCTCTTGCCCCAATACTGAGATTGCATTAGCATCCTCATCCCAGTCATCACGATGACTGGGATGTTGATCGTGTTGATCGTGGCAACACGATGGTCTGATTCATGTTTGTATGTATAGGGGTTAAAGTCATTGACTCTAGTGTTTTGGAGCACATAAGGTTGCAGACTATTCTGAACAACAATGCTGTTTTCCTTTCTCTGCCTGTCTAGGCCCTGCGTTACCCCTACTTCCAGGTAGGCCAGATCTTAGGGCCTTGCCCTCAGAGCCAGGAGATCAAGAAGGTCCAGGCCAGGCCGCCGGCCCAGAAGCAGGTCTCAGAGTCCAAGGCTGATCCTCAGCAGTCTTCCTCTGACTCCAAAGCCTCCACATCCTCCTCCAGAAACCAACATCAACAGCCTCTTCAGCAGATTCCCCTTCCCCAAGCTGAGAGTAAACCAGGAGGCCTCAGCCATGCAGTGAGTGCCTTCATGCAAATCAGACCTTTATTTATTGTATTTCATGTTATAGATCTTCTAAGGAGAAGGACTTGTAAGACAATTGTATTGTCTTCATCTGCAGAAAGCAGCGCCGCTGAGCAGTGAGAACGGCGTTGGTGGTGGTGGTGGTGGTGGGACGGGGGTGCTGAAGAGTGGCCGTCGTCGCTGGGGTCAGACAGTGGCCAAGATCTCAGACAGCTGGGAGGAATCCGACCCGCCAGAAACCGCCGCCTCCAACTCCAAGAAACCCAGCCTGGGGAACGCAGAGGAGGAGGGGAGCCTGAAGGAGCACCGCCCACAGTAGGTGCTTTGAGGTCCTAACAGGACTGGATTTGCAATTTGGAAAAGAAAATGTAAGCATTGATGTAAGCAACAGTGCATTGCAGAGCGCCACAATATGTGTTAAATTTAGCTGTCTCATGCGTTATTTGAGACGATATGTTATCTGAGTTGTGAAGGATTGTCATATGTAGTTTAAAACATGATCTATGCACATCAATTATTTCATGATTTAATAATTTGATAAAACTTTATGTGATGCGCTTCTCTCAAACACATTAGGTGCTGTTTGGCCTTCAAATGTCTGGTTTCTGTTTTCAGGCCCAAGGAGCAGAAACCTCTGTATTCCTTCAGCACAGTCACGAAGCTACCCAACAATGTTAAGATTGGCCAAATGGACTCTAATCTCCCAGGATCTGCTGCACGGCAGCACTATCTGAGCCAGTCACGATACCTGCCAGGTAGGACTGCATGACTAACAGCCAATTGGGTAATCTTTATCAATGGAAAGAGGTCATCAAAACGTAGTGTTATACAAGCAATCGGCATATTCTTTTATAACATGTGCTTTCTTTTATCTGTGTAAGGTGATTTATTGTCAAGCATGACTGCTGGTAGATGTATTTACCTTTTGATAAATGGGCTATGTAACGAATGTTGTGATTGCAAAAATCCGGAATTACTAGCTTAAGAGAACCTCAGAAACTCAAATCAGCTCGTCCACTAACACAGATGTCAATAAATATTGGTCATTAAACCAGGGATCGTCCTCATACCAAGTAAATACAATCAGGCACCATTGCATTCACCTGGAACCACCTGATCATAACATATATTTATGTTGCTTTAAGGGTTGATCGGCAAGAATCAGACTTCTGGAGATAAGGAGTTGAGTGGTTTGACGCTGCGGGATTTGTGGGAGAACTCCTCAAACACTGTAAATAAACCGCTTGCTCCTATTGGAGGAGGATTATCCGTCACCAGAGACAACGCAGGTAAGGACTAACTTCTAATGTAGAGGTGTTAAGAGAGTTTGATGGAGTGTGCAGTGGGACGGGGCTCGGGTTCCCAGATTTCACTAACTGTTTGTCACAGTTTGCCAGTTTTTGTGTCCTAATTTTTCAGGGAATATTTCTTTTGTTTATTTTACCCCTCAAATATGTTTAAAATAACACATCGTACCCAGTGTGGAAAAAAAATATTTTTGAGAATCTATAACCGAGCCAACACCTTATGTTTGGCAACAAAAATAAACATTGACCTTACTCAGTTAGCGATAAGGGTAATGCCAGCACCGCGACTCACTTTCTTTTGCCATGCAGTGGAAACCTGGCGACTGTCAGTGTCATGTACTGTTACATAATATGACACCGTCCTCTGTGGGCCACAAAAGGAACCAAATGCTAATGATGCAGCTAATGTCTCCTGATCAGTAGTTATGGAGCCCTTGAAAAAAAAAAAAGCAGTGTCAGGAGTGAGCCTATGTGTCTGCGGCTTGAGAGAAGGGAGACTACTATAAATCATTTGTCATGTAGACAGACACAATATGTGTCCCCGCTGTGCTCTCCTCTTCTGTCTCTTTCTTTCACTGTCTCTCCCTCACTGTTGCTTATTCATGAGATTAAGGCTGCCGGTGGAAGATCAAGTGCTCCCTAAATTACCTTCAACTGAAACCCCCCCCCCCGCCCCCCCTCCTCCCCCCCCCCCCCCCCCCCCCCCGCTCATTTGTCTCACCTCCCAGCACTTACACACAAACACACACCAACGTTTGTTTTGATACACTTATGAATACACCTCATGAATGTATTTTTTTTTTCTCATTTAAATCACAAAAAAGTGCTACCGTTCTTTTTGTTTTGTCTCGTTCTGTCAACTTTCAGCTGAGATGCACCTTCGTCAGTGCTAACATGTGCATGATATTTTTCTTCTTCTTCTTCTTCTTCTTTCCCTCTGATTGCGTGCATATCTCCTCCGACTCTACTATTTGGTGCGAGACTAGAAGAGAATGCCTCTAAATGTGAGGATAGCCCACCAGAGAAAACTGTTGTTAAAGAGAGAATACTGGAGAAAATCGATCTCTCCAAAGGTATTTCACTGAGATGACTTCAAGTGAACTGCTTTGTTGTTTTTCACAGTTGGAAGCTAAGTTGTGAATTGACTTAACTCTTAAGTTGCTATGCTGAAGCTCTTTTGTGTCTACCAACATTGTGGTTGTAGTTGTAGTTGGCTGATACAACAAGCTTCAGGTATTCACCCAGTGACTTAACATGCGAAAGAAAGCAGCTGCTAAAGGCTCAGCAGGAGACAAGGGTACAAATACACAGTTTAACCAGAGAACTCCAGTGGCTAAATAGATGTTAAATTGCACTACAACCACAACATCTTCATAAGGGAACAATGAGGCTTTCCACTAACTACACTGATAACCATCTGTGGCTGCTGGTGAGGCAGATCGATGGAGACGCCGGGGAAGCTGAATGACTTCAATCACACGGCCTTAGTCATTTGTTTGGGTCCTCAGTAGCTGTTGTATATGCAGTAGCTACTTCACACACGTTCACACAAATCATTTGTATCAGTAAAGCCAAGTGTGAGAACATCTATTAGGTGTGTTTACAAAGTATTTTAAATGTCGCACATTGTTTTAGCTTGTATGATACATGGAGGCTGTAACATTAAAAAACACAACAAATAAAGACCCATGAACTGTGTCTTTCTCCTCTTCTAGGGAACTTTGTAAGCACCAAATACAACCTCTCTGGTGGTTATATCCCTTCAGTCCAAAAGAAAGAGGTGGGCTCAGTGGGGCAGAGAATCCAGCTTGCCCCTTTGGCTGGCCAGCACGCAAGTAAGCTTTTATTCCATCCACGTGAAGCTGAGAAAATGATTCTTGATACTTGTGGGTCGGATAACCTCCCCTCATATCCGGCTCAAAAGGTTGCACTCATCAAATCTTAAAACAGTCGATGTATTCTGTAAGAATAACCGCCCTCTTGTATGGCCGTCCAGCACTCGGCCATCATGCCGTGCCTGACAGATTCCTGCTCCTTTACTCTATTCAGTTTCCAGTTTCTTGCTCGCACTATTTCCATCCAAACTCTCACTCACTGGCACTGTGTTTCCCCTCTTTTCTTTTCACTCTTTCAGTCAATCTGTCTTCTTCTCCTGATAATAAAAAAGACAGATCGAAATCTGCAAAGCCCAAGGCCATATCCGAATCATCTTTGAGCGAAACTAATGAAGGTATTGCCATTATAATAGTTGCTATTAGGCTTTTGTTGATTTTGTTTTATGATTCTGGCGTGATTACTTGTGTTGATAGAGGAAAAAAAGATGTCCTGTATTGTTATTGCTGTCCGTTGCTTTTGCTGCTACCAACAATACCGGTTTTGTATTTACTTTTGATGCCATTTTATAAGCTGGCATCAGTGTTTAAAGACAGATACCTGACTATATAGATACTGCATTATCACTGTATATATTGGAGACAAAATGACTGACAGGCTTGTTCCTCCAGATTACGAGGGCTGGAAGAGGAGGGCAGACAGAACTCAGATGAAGGGGAGCAGCTACTCGGCCCTGGGGAAAACTTCCGGGAATCTCCTGACCAGAGCTCCCCCCGTGCAGCCTGTCCACGGCAGGGTGGACTGGACATCCAAATACGGTGGAACTCGGTAGTTCAGAAAGAAGGCCATGCAGCTTCTACCGCTTGTTGGGACTGTTGCCTAGTGGTACACATCTTTGGAAGGAAGTTAAGCCTAAACACACTCCAACCTGGGGGAAATGCTGCATGTCCCCTGAAACAATCTGAATCCAATACGGCGGTAGATCTGGTAGAGGACAAAAAGTAGTCACACAAGATGTTCCTTCCCACATTCTTCAAGGAGACATTTTCCCTGCCACAATGGCATCACTTTGTTCCCAGTGATGCACCTGTAAGTGTGCATGGAGTCTGTATATTTTGAAGGTGACGGTTGCCATGATGCTGAACCAAGACGGATCCCGTCTGCTTGACAATCCCACTGCTTTCCTGAAGGAGCCAGTGTGAGCCAATTATGCTGTTAGTGTTGTATTGTGAGTAGGATTTAATTGTAGCATAACTTTTCATTTTTTTTGTACTCATTGTCAAGTATTGTTTTACTACTGATGACAAAGCATAATCAGTAATTTATTAACAGCTCCTGCAATGCTATGTTCCCTCTGCTTTTATTCCCGTAACAAAATCTTCAGTGTAATGGCTACAAAAAGGATTACTTCAACTTACTGTGTACTGCACACCTCTTTGTATTATTAACTGAGCATTTTGTAAACCTTTTATACAAATAAATACATGAAAGTTCATAATGCATTCGCTCAAAAAGGACAAGACGACCATTCCTATTATATAAACAAGGTACTATATTTCATCCATTACAAAATGACATTAACAGCAAATTACAAATGCTGTCAGGAAGCTCCTGGAACAGAAGAAGATGGGGTGCGCATCAGAATCTCGACTCCATCAGGACTCCTGCGGTTTCTGGAGCAATGTCAACCCAAGCTTCCCCACCATCACAAGACTGGAAGCAGAAAGAAAAGGACATGTCACATCCCTGAATATGTTTGTGTGTGCGAGTCATATGAATGGCATGAAATAGATACCTTGCTGCAGCCATCAAGCCGGCTGGCATGAACTTCCTGGATCCATAGAACCTCTTTCCCATGACGGCAGTCAGAGCTCCGGATGTAGCTGGAAGATAGAAAATCAGAGTGCGTTATGACCACAGAGACACATCACTGTTAACGTATTCACTATATACACTCGTCACATAGTTTATCTCCATGCAACGCATGCACGCTATACAGTATAGTCACAGTATACCAACCGAGGGACACCCAAATATTTTTGGGGTCGTTGGAGATCTGGTAGGCACCAAAACCTGCGAGGCCACCGAAGAGAAGACCCGCAGCAAGGGAGGGTTTACTGCCTTCAAGAAAAAACACACAGCAGATCAACACCTGCACCTGAGAGCATGCATACACTGGTGTGTTATGGGAGTAAAGTATTTCAGTTTCATAGTGCAGAATTTAATGAATATAGATACTTAGAAGGCAATTAGGTATACTATACATTTTAAAGATTGTAAGACTGTGGTTATCCTAATTCTTCTTACTGGAAATTGAGGGATGCAATGATATGTAAAAATAAAAAAGTGCTCTACATACCTGCTTTCACAAAACCAATGACTCCCCCGGATGAAATGAGGGCTGCATATCCATATCCGACCCAATCCGCAGACATGTTGGACACCTGCAAATTGTTGTGTTCACGGTAACTATTGAATTCAGACGACTTCCTACTGTTCACTTACAGATGCAAAAATGCCCAAAGGAATGTCTGAGGGCTGCGACACAGAGCTGTTATAGAAAACTAGCTGAGGCAATAAAAGATATAGAAACAATGTTTCCTCTGAGGAAGTGTTCCCCCGCTGTCACACAGCTGCGTTCGTCTGTTTTTGATCACAAATCGTTACATTGTGGGCCAACTCCAAGGTGCATGGGTGCGTCTGGATTTTGAGATTAAGCTAGCTGCTGTACAGTTTTAGCAAGCGCGCCAGGAGCACAGACAACTAACACACGTGCATCGCTTACACGAAGGTTCACAGAATATTTAACCTACGCCACTTTTTTGTAGAACAATTTGAGCTTTATCAAGTCTGACATTGTCACAAAAGGAAGCTTGAAACGCAAATGAAGCCACATACAACCTTGCTCTTTCAGTTTGTCCTCTGTCACAACCAACGGCAGCCTGTTCTCCACCGGGCACAAATTATTGGTGCACATAACACGCGCTACGGTGCTGATGGGAAATGTAGGCCCTATTGCTTTGGAGGCAAGTGCTGCGTTCACGAGAGGCGGAATTTGTACAAACAATGATAATAAATTAACAATAGATGGCGTTTTTTTCTGATATGAACTTTTCACATTTTCAAAGATGTATTTTTTTTTTTTTTAAATTAAAACTTTTGGTTGACATTCACCAAACCAAGTGTAGTTGATGACATTGAAAAAAAAGTGTTTTTCTAACTATGACTATGACTATAACTATCACTTGCCATGATATAGCATGTATGCTACTGTGTGTTTGTAGCTTAATGACTGACGATACTCTAGCTGCTGCAGAAGTATGTTTTATGTTTTATGTAAATACATTTCACAAGCCTTGTTTCTTCCCTGGTTTTCATGAACTGGACTACTGTGAGTAGCAGTTACAATTACATCATAGCACTTGAGCTTTTTATTAACTCTCTACTGTGCTTGAACGCAGAAGTAATTTCAATCCCCAGTATCAGTAATCAGTAAAATCGTTTATATATATCTATATATATATATATATATATATATTTAAGATTCATTCCATTCCTAATGTTTATTAAACGTAGTATATTGTACATAAAATATTATGAGGCCTTTATGTTTGTCTCTGCAGGCAGAAAGTAACAGTAGCAATTTGCCGTGTGTGTACGATTAGTGATTAATTAACATGTTTGACATAATCATTCTATTTATTTGTCGCACATAATTTGACACTGCCACCTCCTGAGATTAATTCTGCGCCCCTGAGCAAAGCTTCCCCATCTGTTTCCACATCGATGTGCATTAGTCAACAGACCATCATTTCAAAGTAAGTTCCTCTCAGGATTATCATCTATGAGGACCTTTGTTGTTTGACATGTCTCCATAAAAAAATATTTTTCCTATGCTGTTGTAGCGGAACAAACAGTTTATGACATAACAGTGAAGATAAACTACAGGCCTTGCAGGACCTCAAAGGACCGTTGATGGTCGTCAGACACTAGAGTGGGACCTTTTATTTTTACCACCACAAGATGGCACCGCAGGATTAGATTAAGTTGTGTTGAAGACATACCCCCAACATCTCTAAACTGTAACTGGACTTGATTTTTTTCTCCCTTTTTAATATATTTTGCTTTACATTCAGAGAAAAATACACAAAATATCACCTGTAACTGCATCAGAATATGTGTTTTCAGTATTTGGAGCCTTGTTGGGTGATCACCGTGAAAATGGACAGGTTTAGTCTTTGGAAGTGTGATTAGTGTTCATAAAGAAAACAGGTGGATTAAGGTCAAAATATAAAGAAAAAGGCTTATAAACCCAATGAATGTCGTCTATTTAATTTGAAACATGCGAGTGATAAACCTGACATTTGCCTGAATTCTGACCCGTGGCTATATTTGTATATTTCACTAATTTGAACATGTTCCTTTTAACCACCTGCTATTTTTTTTGGACTGGCATCGGTTTGGCAGTTCCACTTACTGGAATGCTCGCTGCGCACACATTCTCATTTGGTTTCAATTACCTACAATATTGTCTTCCATCTCCGGAAGCAAGGTGGCGCTATGATACAATGTATCACCCTTGGGAAGCAGCGTTTCATACAATGGGCCTGAAACCTTCTCACTCAACAGACACCCATTGATCTCACGGAGCTACGTGGGGATTCTGTACCGGGATAGCACCGTCCTCAGCAGGCTGACACGTCCAGCTGGAGTGAGTCTGCAACAACAAGAAAATCAAGCTGGGCATCTTTTCTAAGATCATTTTCCAACTTCTAAATAACAACTCGTGGGGGACAAGGAATCAGTCCCATCGCCGACCAATACTTCAATACAACAAGGGAAGGAGGAGAGAAAATAAAGTAGAAAAAATTGTCAATGGACCGCGTAATTTACGCAGTTTATGTCTCAGCATGTTTTTGAACGAGACGCGGACCAGTAGGCCTACCACACACCCACGCACACACAACAACACCAATACCAAATACAGAAAATATTACATATAATAATAATAATTACAACAATAATTACAACAATAATAATTTATTGTAATTTGTATAAATGTGAATGGCCATACACATTGCCTCGGGGGCAGCCGTTGCCGACGCCTATTAAACACAGCTCGCAGTTTTTAGGAAGCTGAACGTTGCCGGAGGCCCAGTGCGATGGTGGAAGTGGTTGAAACCAAGCTCTAGACAAACAGCCTGGATATCCAAAGGGGACCCCGCTCCTGTCTGAGAGTAACCCACTCTCAGACAGCTCTGCTTTAAAACTTACTCCTCCCTTAGTGCGCAGAGCCCCAAACAATATTTCTGATCCCCCCCCCCCTCTCCTTTGTCCAGTCCTGGTGAGGTCTTTATAGCTGCAGGTATTGTGTGTGTAGTTAAAATGTGTTCGCCTTTGAAGTCAAACATGAAGGCTTGTTTTAAATATTAACACTGCAAACAAAATAAAATATATAGATCCAATGCGGAATTATGCAATGGCACAAAAATAAAACAACTATAATAGGATAAAATGCAAAAAGAGATGTATTTTTTCCGTCAAAAGTGTATCCAATAATCTCAGTGCATGCATTAAATATGTTTAATATAAAGGTTTGATGTAGTGAGGGAACCGACGTGCAGCTGGCAGCGACGTGCTGTCTGAATGTGTGTCTGCTCCGTCAGGAACTTGAAAGAGGACAAAAAGGGGTTTTGGACTAAAGCTTCGACCATTATCACCCATGTGAGCGCACGTGTTGCTCTCCTCTGTGGATGTGTGTGTGTTAGTATGCGTGCGTGTGTGAGACAGAGAGAGGGAGAGCTCATTCGCTCTTGGCCCGAGGGGTCTACATAAGTATGTATTAGAAATAAACAGTGGATAAATAAATAATGACCCTCACAATAGCTGGGTAGCTTTCTGTGTAGAAGTAATGATGTTGGCAGTTAACCTTCAAGTTTTTAACTTGACACAGTTTCATTTGCAGTGAGAATTCATGTTTTCTAGACAAAACAGTAAAGAAGAAGAAAAAAGGAAAGATAACTATCAAACATATTACCCATATAATTTAATATAACTTTACTTTGGTCCAAACTATTTAATTATCTTGTTTTACTCTCTAATAAGTCATATTTATAAATTCAGTTTTACCATAAATGAAGGGGAAGGTAAACCACATCATAGTTTTTCACACTTTTTATAAACGAAAATAATGTTTGATGTAAATTCACCTGATGTAAAGAAGTGATCATTCGATTAAAATGTATTGTATATGTTAACATTAACTTAAATTGAAATTCTGCAAGTATAATAAATATGTCTTATTAATAGCAATGGCTGGGATTAGACTAGTGCTGGCTGGTATCTCAGAGTTTCCTCAACAAGTAATGTCGAGCTTTCTTTTTGTTTCGTTTTATAATTTACTGTTTCATAAAAACTCATTGACTTGTCTTTGAAGACAAAAGAGGCCGACACAGCTCCCAGACAAAATAGGCTGTTTAACTCTTCCCAGGTAGCTTCTCCTTTCTCGTCCACATCCGGAGCATTGCGCATGCGTCACCAGGTGGCTCCGCACCGTTTTTTTTATGGCCAGGTGAGACGATCCGGTCAGGTAAAAAAAAAGAAAAAAGAAAAAAAGTAAAGGTTTAGTTTGGGACCGAAGGCTCAATGAGATAGACACGGCACCGGATCGACCAAAAACCACCAAAGGCAGCAGAAGACAAAGAATGTCAATTATGGGCAAAATGGGAGAATGGCAGGTATGTGCTGCTTAATGTGCTGCTTACTTTAAGACAAAGACACGGCGGTGGAAATCCATGAAAACTGTCAAAGTGTCGACTTGTTGTAGGAAGAGGCTGCTCTCGCGAAATCTTTTGTAAAGAGAGGTGGTGCAGGTAGTTTAAAGACGCATAGCTTTAATCCGTCAGGAGATCATACAAAGAAGTTCTTTTATTTTGGAAAACTCTGTAGCCTCACAGCCATCTCGTAGTTTTTTTTTTTTTTACCGTGGAAGCCCGAGGATGTTGATCGCATGTTGTTATAGGCTGTAATGACTGCACACGCCTTTCAGATGCACGGTCATGTCTTTGATCATAAATTAGAAATGTGTGGAAACAAGACACGAGATGTGGTTTTGTCCAAATTGGAGTATTGTTTTTTTTATATTCAACGCAGCCCTTACTCTAACAATGTGTCGTTGCGCCTTTGAGGTGAGATCTGACTTTTCATAAATGCAGCCTGCACTTCGCATATATTCACAGCGGTTCCACGTTCGCATTACATGTTCTCAACTCACAAGTTACAAAACATCCCATAGTGGACTTAAAGAGTCTGGTCTCGCCACTGAAACCATGGCCTTGTTTTGTGAGGTGTGGAGGATAAAATAGACGACCTGATGAAACAGAAAACTTTAGTTTCACTCGTTTTAAAAAAGAGAGAGAGAGAGAGAGAGAGAGAGAGAGAGAGAGAGAGAGAGAGAAAAGATCATCACTACAGACAACCAGGCCGGAAAAGAAAGACACTCGCATAGCTGTCATTGTCAGCCAGTTTCATAGCTCCATTCTCATTAATAGCCTAACTGCTTGCAAAAAGGCACTCCACCAAAAATGGTAATCCAGGTTTTTAAACGAGAGGAGCCAACGCCTTAAAGAGCTGGCGACCTGTCTGCTGACCCACGACCTGCTGAGGTGAAGGCTCGGCCGGCGACAGGGCAGAGCCAGGCTCCCCGAGCCGCTCATTCAAATGAAACAAGGCCATGTTGTTGTGTTAATTATTTACATCCCCCCCCCCCCCCCCCCCCCAAACCCTGCGCCCTTACAGGTAGTCAATGGACCTGTAGAGCCGCTCCGAATGGCTCACCCTTTTAACATAACATTAGAAGAATAGCCTCTCAAGGTCTCCACTCTCAATGGGATTAAAATAACAGTTTGAGAGTTAAAAAAAAAAAAAATCAA